CCCCCAAAATAAATTTTGGTTGTAAGGAAATTTTTGGATTCTTTTTATTATTCCTCTTTGTATTTTGTTCATCGTTCTCTAACAATAGCATCTCTACATAATGTGTTTAATTATGTTGGGGCAATTGTCTAAAGACTATAGTATTTTAAAACTTTTAGGGGGGGCAGCAATTGCCTAAAAATCATTGTAATAAAGGCTAAAAAATACTTGGAGGAAGAATAAATTTCCTAAAGAATCATATAATAAATAACTTTTTTTATTTTTTCAGAGTGGCAATTGGCCCCCTGGGCCTAAGGTGGATCCACCCATGTTTGAATTTCTCATGCCTAAATTTTAATATTTACTTATATGATATTCTAGTATCTAAATCATATTAAAATATTTATATGTGATAATATTTACTTTATTTTGGATAAGTTAATATTAGTGATTTTTTATGTGATTTAAATATTATGATGTTATATAAATAAATATAAAAATTTAGATGTTAGATATTTAAATGCAGACAAATTTGGTGGTATGTATGTAATTCTTCCTATTTTTATCATCACTTGTTCTTCTAAGTTTATATATTATTTTAGTGTTTAAATAGCATTAAAGCTTATGCATAAAAAATATATTTTTTACTTTAATTAAATTAGTGACATTTTTATTTTATTTAGATATTTAAGTGTTATAATTAATTATTAGAAATGTGTTCATATGCTTCAATGAATTTGATTGTTCAAAAGTTGAATTTGGTTAATGGATGAGTGGATATGATTATTTCAATATTCAATGAGGCTATATAGTTTAGAAGCTATCTATCTATATTTATTTACTTCCTAACAATATGTCCCTCTGCTTAGTTCTCCTTCTTCACTTTTCTCATTTTCCCTCAATTTCATTATGATTGTTGCTTGTAAGGATAAGTCTATAAGAATGCTCTTGCAATTCCTTAGATAATTTAAGGCTACCGAATATAACACCGGTTAAGGGGTACCGAGCCAACGAGATAATCAGAAGATCGCTTGGAGTATCGAGCCAACGAGATAATCTGAAGAGCTCGAAGTAAGAGGGTTGAGTGTTCAAAGAAATAAAATTAGAGTGTATACAATTTACATGAGTATAATTTATAATATTTTAAAATTTAAACATAATAATAATATCTTCTTTCTACTGGATGATTAGGTGACGTGAATGAAAGTTTAAGATTTTTAAAACTTTTTTAAAACATTCTAGAAGCTTCTATAGGTTCCTCAGGACTTTCATGAGATTCTCAAAAGCTTTTAGAGGACTAAGAAAAGAATCATCATGGAACATATCAAGATAAAACTCCAAAATCATTCATAAAATGGATATGAACACTAATTGTAGTTAAATTAGTTGTACCAAACTCATTGCTTTGTGCTAGCCAAATGAAATTTGTTAGGCCAGTTTTGGATTTGAAGAGTGATTTTAGGAGATCTATATTTGTATTTTGAAGTCTAATTTTTTTACAAATATAAACCAATCATTTATAAGAGCTTACAAGATCCATGATTGATTATTATGTTTAAATTCTTTATTCCACTTAATTATATTTCATCATGAATTACTAAACCATAGATCGATTTTCATTTTGTATTAATTTGATAAATTGATTTTTGTGTTTATGAGTTCATATTTTCATGAGCCAAAGTGTGAAGATGAAACTATCAAGTTCACCAAAAAATTAGAAGAGTGCTTAGAGATTAAATTGACTTTTATTTTGATTTAGGCCTCAACTAAAGTCAATAATCTAACATAGAGAAAGTTCTTTCTTAGATCAAAATTAAATTGAGAAAACCTTGAATCAAATTGATCTAATTTGAGATAAATTTTGAATCAAATTTAATATAACTTAATGAACCTTTTTCACGTCTCAAAGCTCATATTATTGAAGTTCATATCATCATCTAAGTAGTTATCTAGTTATCTCCATACATTGCTAAATAACTTGAATTAGTGAATATCATAAAAGATAATGACAACAAAAAGAAACAATTCGAACCATAATTGAACAATATTTGAATATTATTTAAACCTTATTTAAAAAATGATCAAAATTTGTTAAATCATATTTGAATGTTATTCTAACTTAAAAATTTATTATTGATATAACATCAAAAAATTATCTTGATATGGCACGAACCTCGAAGCAAAAATAAGTTGGAAACTTCGAAAATTAAATAGGAGATCATATGAACTCCAATTTCAGCAAACTTATAGTCGAATTGAACGTCTCAAAAAGATGAATCCAACAACACCAAATTCGACTCAATCTGAGTCTAAATGAGTCCAAATCAAATACCCGAAGCGTATTTAGAAGCTTCAAATAATAATTTGAATTACCAAACGGTGTTCAAACATGACACGCTTATAATCGAATCAAGTGGCTCGACGAGACGAATCCAACGAGCCCAAGATCATAAAATTTTGATATCATTAAGACATTCAAATGCTCAGTAAACGATCCATGATCAAGAGATTCAACATTGGTCATCCATTCAAACGACTCCAAATTTACTCTTGATCTTCCTCTTATTTACTGGTCATGCTACTCTCAGAAAACTATAAATAGACCCCTCATTTCTCATGAGAGGGGGCCCAAGCAAGAAGAGAATGATGAGAAGGAAGAGTTATCTTGCCGCCAGACTCATCGACCATTGCCGGACTTCAGCTTGGCCACTAACTGTCGTCAGACTTTCGCATGGCTACCGAATGACGCAGGATTTTTGATCGGTTACCAACTATGGCAAGATTTCTACTCAACCACCAATTGACGCCAGATTTTTGGCCGACCACCGATTGACGTCGGATTTCTGGCTGACCACTAATTGATGCTGGACTTCCACCTGACTTCCAATTATTCTCGGACTTCCACCTGACAACTGTCTTCTGACTTTCGTTGCCAGATAACAACCTTTATGACCTCCGTCACATGCCGATTACGATATTTTCGACCTCTATCGTGTGCCAAACAATAGTCCTTCCGACCTCTGTTGCTTGTCGACTACGGTCCATCCAACCACAGTCTCCCAAATACAATCTTTCTGACCTCCGTCTCCCGCTGATTATGATCATGCCGACCTAACTAACATATCAATACTGCTTCTTCCAATTTCCACAATTTAATGCATTCTATATGATATATACTTATTATAACAAGCAAAGACCTTCCCTCCAATGAAGGGTCACATTTGTGATCAAGTGCAAACACTAGTCGATTCATTCAAATTGGACTAAGCCTCGGGGTTTTTCCTCTTTTCAAAAATTTCCACGTAAAAATTTTGATGTCTCTTATAAATACTGCATCCTCTCTTTTATCAGATTGTGTGCTGGATCTCATACAAAATTAAGACGTTAAATTTTATATTTTTCTACCACCGTGAATATTTAAAGACAAAACAAGTATACAAAAATTATTACAAAAAACTTTAAAAAATAAAAAATAGCTTAGTCTACATTTTTAAATTAAATTTATATTAGATAAACTAAATTCCACCCTATCCGACGTGATATTTTTTTTTTTTGGAATTTGATCCGATGTAATATAAATATTTATCAAGTTTATCACCAACATTTTTTTTATTATTTTGAAGAAGCGGTTCATAGCAGCTGA